GCAGATCTAGCTGCACGAGGAGGCATCATGTAGGGAATCTTAAATAAAAGGTGCGTCATTTTTTTCATCATTCTCAACTTTGGGTAGCTAAGTGACGACTCACCTCTTTAATCAGTTCCTTCTGGGAGGGTACTAAGTCCTCATCATCGTCTTCTGGAACCTCCGCATTATCGTCCGATTTGTCGGTGTCATGATCACTCTCTCCGTATTCACTGACAGAGTCGTTATCTTCGATTGACACTGCGACTGACTTTGGCAGCTTGCTGTTTTTCTTATCGCGGCCTTGACTTTGACCATGACCGTTGACTTGATCCGCTGTTGAGTATCTCTCATACTGATCTGTTAAGCAACTACTAACCATTGTCTAACTTTTCTGCAGGTGTCTTTCGCGCTAACTTGGCGGCTGGTACTGATTGTAGCGCAGTTACTGTGGGTGCGCGCTTACGAGTATTGGTCGTTGTCTCATTCTTTCGCGCTAACTTGGCGGCTGGTACTGATTGTAGCGCAGTTACTGTGGGTGCGCGCTTACGAGTATTGGTCGTTGTCTCATTCCAGACTGAAACAAGGTGTGTCAATGACTGCTTTCTCCAATTGCCTGTACTAACTTTTTCGCTCTAAGGCCTTTACTTTGGATGACCGCTGCAGTGGTTCTTGGTGATGACTGTGAGTCCATCGCATTTTTCTTGGCCTATGGATGTACTCACTCTCTTCTGTATTGCCGGTTTTTTTGCCAGTGGAATCTTGACTTGCCACCTGGGCCTTTCTTTGGGCGTTCCGCTTGTGGGCGGCTATATCTGACGGCGTTGAAGACAGATGGGGACTCGGAGGCATACTACTAGTAGTGTTTGCTTCAGCTGAAGTTGGGAAGGGAAAGGTTGAGACGGTTATGAAAACTTATTGGTGGCCACTCTCATTTTCAGGTCTGTTTTTTTACTGTGCTGTGCCAGCGCTAGGGTCGTTGGTTTTTTTTTCATCTAACGTGTGGTTACAGAAATGGCTAAAACAAGCAGAGCGTCTACTAGCAGAATTTCAAGCTGCAACCGTCAACTTGAATGGTGCTCCCTCTCCTCCCCTCTCAGGTTCAGCTCGCCGCATCATCAAAGAAGCTGAGGCACGTGTAGCCCATGCTGATGGACAGAGAGTCCAGGCAGAAGCATGTACTGCCAGGCAACAAATCCAACTCGGTTCACAGTGTGCCACCATCATTTTAGTACGTTTGTTTGTTGCCGTGCTGTCACCGTAATCTAACCTGTTCTGAAATATCAAGTAAATTCGTGTTGTGTGGCCGCGTCTTCGTACCCTTCCATGCTAAGGAAGGGAGCCTGTACCTTTTTGAAACAACCGCGTCTTCGTACCCTTCCATGCTAAGGAAGGGAGCCTATACCTTTTTGAAACAACCGCGTCTTTGGCCGCGTCTTCGTACCCTTCCATGCTAAGGAAGGGAGCCTGTACCTTTTTGAAACCTGTACTGCCAGGCAACAAATCAAACTCGGTTCACAGTGTGTGAATCTTCACACTGGATAGCACGCTGTAAGGTTTGCACCGTCTCTCTACTACCCATCACTACCTACCTACCTACCACCACTACCTACCGCCTGTTTTGTTGCCAACAAAATGATCACTTGCCCAGGTTGCACCAAAAACTTCGAGCACGCTGGATACTCCCATCACCTAGCCAAGACCACGAATCCATCATGCGCAGCCCTATTACAACATTCTGGTCTTTTTCCTCAGTCAGAGCCTGAGGTTGAGAATTCTGACGGTCTTGATGATGGAGATGACAATGTTGATCCTCGTCATCTAACGGAATTTACAGGAGACTATTTTGGCCACTACAACGAACAAGATCTGGAATGGCCAGATGATAATGACGAAGTTGCAGCGGCGGAGCCTCCTTTGGATTCTGATGGCGAGGAAGAGGATCACAATGCAGAGGTTGAGGTTGAGAATGGGTGGGAACGCCCTGCAGATCCTGTACCGCAGGATATCGACGTTGATGTTTTTGAGGAGTCAGATATGTTGCCACAATCACATGCAGCCGAACGACAAGAAGCGGAGAAAGCCCTTGGTCGCCAGCCCACTATTGAGAAATTTCCGCGGCGCCATGCAGGTGCTCCAATACTTAACTCTGGCACTACCGCTTTCGAGTCTTATAACAATGCTCTGCAAGGCGCAGACAATGTTTGGGCTCCCTTCGCATCTCGCATAGACTACGAGGTTGCAAAGTGGGCAAAACTTCGTGGATCGGGCTCAACTGCTTTTTCAGAGCTGCTTGCAGTCGAAGGGGTGAGTCTTCATTTTCTTGGGTCATGAATGGGCCAACTTTTTAACTACGTTTCTATAGCTTCATGATGCCTTAGGTCTTTCGTATCGAAACACCCGTGAACTCAATCAAATCATTGACCGACACTTACCATGCCGACGACCTCGTTTCAAACGTGAAGAAATCATTGTTGCAGACGAAGCATTTGACGTGTACTCGCGTGACGTCATGGAGTGCGTCAAAGCCCTTTATTCAGATCCGGATTTCTCGCAACACCTCAACTACACTCCCGAACGCCATTATGTCGATGCTGACAAAACAATCCGAATGTATCATGATATGCATACAGGAAAGTGGTGGTGGTCCACGCAGGCGAGTCTTTTGAAAAACGTTCTGATTCATATTGAACTTACCACAATATCATTTAGAAAGAACTCGAAGCAGAGAAACCTGGCGCAACAGTCATACCCATCATCCTTTCCTCCGACAAGACGCAGGTCACCATGTTTAGGAACAAATCTGCCTATCCTGTCTATATGACAATAGGCAACATTCCGAAGGAGATCCGTCGAAAGCCATCTCGACGGGCGTGGATTCTCCTGGCCTATCTACCAACCTCAAAACTCGAACATATCACAAACAAGGCTGCGAGGCGCCGAACGGCCACAAATTTATTTCATGCTTGTGTGCGTCACATTCTGGAGCCTCTGAGAGTCCCCGGCAAGGATGGTGTTGCTATGGCTAGTGGGGATGGAGTTGTGCGTCGAGGACATCCGATTGTCACATGTTATTCCGCCGATTACCCGGAACAGTTGTTGACAACTGGGATAAAATCTGGAGAATGCCCAAAATGCGATGTCCCGCATGAGGAGTTGGGAAGTCCTGATGTTCCTGTCAAGCTGCGAGACCTCGAGGCAATTGTCGCTGCATTGTCGCTCGTTGATGAGGACTATGACTTGTGGAGACAAGCATGCCAGGAGCGCGGCATTAAGCCCATCTACAAACCATTCTGGCTGGATCTCCCGCATGCTAATATATTCCAATCCATCACGCCGGACGTGTTACATCAACTCTACCAGGGTATTGTAAAGCACCTCATCGAGTGGATCAAGGAGGCATATAGCGAAGCCGAAATTGATGCTCGTTGTCGTAGACTTCCCCCAAACCATAATATCCGATTGTTTCTCAAGGGTATCAGTAATCTCTCGCGTGTTAGTGGAACGGAGCACAATCAAATCTGTCGCTTCCTGCTCGGCATTGTCATTGGCATACGGTTGCCTGGAAATCTCAACAATGCTCGCCTTACTCGTGCTGTTCGTGCCATCCTTGATTTCCTGTACCTTGCGCAATACCCTTGTCATACGGACGAAACACTGGCACTTCTCGATGATGCCTTAACACGCTTTCACGACAATAAGGACATCTTCCTTGATCTTGGAATCCGCTCGAATTTCAACCTTCCGAAGCTTCACGGCTTCCGTCACTATGTACATATGATAAAAACGTATGGTACAACTGACAACTACAACACCGAGTACACAGAACGTTTACACATCGACCTCACGAAGGATGCCTATAGGGCTACCAACCATAAAGACGAGTACACTCAAATGACACTCTGGCTCGAAAGACGGGAGAAGATTCTATGGCACGACAACTTTGTCCAATGGCGTCTCGTTGGTGATATTGCCCCGCAAGAAATCATACCTCCAGACATGGATTATCGTCGCGCAATCAAGATGACTAAACACCCGACCATCAAGCGTGTCCAGTTGGACCGCATTGTGCGGGAGTATGGCGCCACATTTTTCACTGAAGCTTTGGCTCGTTACGTCGTCGGGAGAAATCAACCTGGTTTGTCTGCAGCACAACTCGAACGCGAGGCCGCTCACATCATTATTCCCTTTGATACTGTGGCTACGTTCCACAGGATCAAATTCAACTCAATCAATGCTCGGGGGATCCAGGACTCGAGTGTCACCGTGGATTCTGTCCATTGTCAACCATCACAAGAGGACAAGCGAGGGCATATGATCCCCGCGCGTTTTGACACAGTTTTGGTCAACGAAGGGGACGGCGGGACAACAGGCGTGGATGGTGCGTTTTGTATGGTGCATTGAACATGTTAGTCACTAATCTCACTCGATCACTGAAGGTTACCGTGTTGCGCAAGTCCGTGTCGTCTTTACGCTAACAAATCAAGCTTCGAATGTGTTATTCCGCGCTGGACCTGCACAACCACCCACCCACCTTGCCTATGTGGAATGGTTCACTCCATTCCAGCAACCGGAATCACACCATGGGTTGTACAAAGTTGCCCGCTTGATTCGTCATGGAGAACGTCTGGCAAGCATCATTGAGATATCAGATATCTGTAGGAGCATTCATCTTATACCTAATTTCGGCGTAGCGGCACCTCGTGAGTGGACGAGTAGCACTGTTCTGGAGTGCTGTTCCACCTTCTTTGTAAACCCCTTCAGTGACCGACATGCTTATTTAACACTTGTCTGAGCATTACAATGAAATTTGTTGAAATACCTTTGAATACAAATAATTTACCGAATTCTCAGTATTTTCATGCGAGTTTGTGAAATTACCTTGATTTTGTGAAGGAGGTTTTCCCTGATGTAAATGATTGCTCGTGTTGCATGTGAAGTCAATGCGGCTCCTTCCCACTCACTAAACACAGATACCCAGTGACCGCCAGAGTCCATGATCCTGATGCAACAAGGCAATGCTACCATGCCAATATAGGTAAACGCCCATGGATTGGCAAGAAGTGAACGCCCATGATCCACACCTACAGGGAACCCCAGACATTAGGTCATAGACAAGGCAACATGAAAGGATACAAACGTTATACAGACGGTAGTTTGATTGATCCCGATCTTGTCGCGAAAGAGGAAGTAGCGAATTCCGACCCAAGACCCCATAGAAACAAAAAGACCGCTGGAGAGAGGCCCCAAATTCCAAAATGAGGCAAGCGCAAAAGAAAATAACGGAAGTGCACAAAGCATATAAATACGAGATCCTTCGGGTGCTATAATTGGCAGAGTTCGTCGCCCCGACTTCAGATCGCCGCTGACGTCGGCGAAATCCTGCGCATGAACTGTCAGAAATATGACAAGCGCACTGCAGGAAAGTGCTTTTATGCTCGTTCCGTCGAGCGAAGAGTCCCTTGCTAAAATATAGATCTTGTTAACGAAATATGATCCCTCAGATGAAGAATGACCTACACAGAATCAACAAAGAACCAAGTTCAAATGTCACATAACCTGCTGCATTGCACAAATTCTTGAAAATGGGATGGTGACTGATATGCAAATCGTCATGCATGACCAGGAGTATAGTGCAAACTCCGCTGGACATAACGACATTGAAGCTGAAAAGGGATGAAAGGCCCAAGCAGAACACCATGAGTGCCCAGCGCAATGTACGAGAGTCCTTTACGCTGATGCGCCCGGACGGCACAGGACGCCATGGTTTGTTCAACATATCTTCAAGGGCAGAGTAGGATTGATTAGACGCATTGAATTGAAAGAGATGGAACCACAGCCAGCAGAGAGCGTAAGATAGAGCTAGCGGGTTGTGGCAAGGAGATACAACAGTTGCGAATATCATCTACCGCAAAAATTCAGCGTGGTGCAGTAATAGTTATGGCCGGAATGAATACCACGGGGAAAATTATTGTCTTGAAGTCGGATCCCGTGAAAAGCCAAGCAGTCTCGCAGTGACGCAAAGTGATCGCTACGAAGCGAGACATGAGTGCTGCAGCCTCTGTTTCACTGTTCAGCATTAAATAGTTCGAAAGGAAGGCTGCATTTTTATTTTTATTTTATTTTTTGTCAAGAAGGGATTGATTCGCCCTCACTACGTTTCCCATAGTGGTGACCTCTGTGCGCGGACACCGAGGCGTGCAGCACTAACTCATCGCAAACGGTATCACCGTTGTCACTGAAGTACTGACACGTGGTCGTTTGGAGCCATGATGTGGCAATTATGAGACTGCTCGTTTCAATCTATCAGAGACATTGGACGAATTTGAAAAGCTGACTAGACTTGCGAAAGAACACGATAGATCAGAGTCCCAGTGAAAACCCACCTGGGTTTCCCAATAAGTAAGCCATATAAGGCTGGGCGATTACGTGTCTCGACCAGCCTCATCAGATACGTTTCTGTAATCTGTAGTATAGACTTTAATGAAGACTTTGAGATTATTAAATTGACTGAAAAGGCAACAAGTGGAGCTTACAGAGAATCTACATGCCGAACCTGTATCTCAGGAGAGGATACAGGAATTGTGTACTGTACTGCAAGCATTGATGGTGAGCCTATCTCATAGATTATATGTAGTAGATCTTAGTAGAAGGATCAACTTGGCACTCCAATCATAACATGATTATATAATATCCAGGCAGGACTACACTTGGTAAGTGCGTTCAGTTCAAGCCACCATGTTCATCTCAGCCTTCAATGCGACTTACCGGCCCCTTCTACGGCTATGAGGTGGAGGTACACTTTGAATTCGTACATGGTTGTCCGTGAATTTTGTAGATTAACACCAACCATGAACACTTGAATTGTTATTGAAGAGTCGACAATTGATAAGAACATGCTGCAGTAAATAACTACAAAAGCGTTGGCTGGAAGTAAACCAGAGCCTTCAGCACAAGTACGGTCTGGAAAGTAATTGAGGCGCAAAAGTTGGGCATGGCGAAGGAAAAAGATTGAAGCCTTTATCCTGGAAATAGCCTACGTGTGAACGAAGTAAAAACTCAACAAATATAGATGAGAACAACTTCTTCGGGCACTACTTAAGTAGCCCGCATGTCCAAGCTTCCTCCCAATCGAAGGAGACAGTGAACTGGATGGGAGAATACCCTAACTTAGTACGAACACCGACGGACACAACACGTCCTTCCCCACTCTCGATGTAAGCGCTTATGTCCTTGGGTTCCCAGTAGGCCGAGCGTGGGGGATCGAACAACGTCAACAATTCAACATCCACGTTCTCCTCGCTCAGACACGTCTTCGCAGCGACCGTGAGCACGATTCGCGGCAGCACCAACGAAATTGTTTGAAGGTGTTTAAACGATTCCCATGGGACGCTTGTCATCCATTCAGGCAGTGGGTATTTCCGATGTTCTAAATCATCAAAGCAGGGATCATAGGTAGGGAGTAGATGGGTTTGTGCTCTTGCGGGGGAGAGGAAGGAGAGGCGAGAAATGGAGGCGAGGAAAGCGGATCCCTCAGCAGTGCTTGTGAGAGGGCGCCATCGATTGAATTCTCCCACTAACGTCAAATTGTTGATGCGCCAAGGTGGAGGGACACGGATTGGGTCGTTCGTGTTGACGTGGGAACTCCATGCGGACTCGAGGCAGCCATAGAGAAGCCACAGGCTTTCAAAGTCTAGCGCAAGGGAGGGCGCGGATAGCACCACTGGCGCCAGTAGGCTGAAGTCAATGTCACGCTCAGACGCGGTGGATGAGGCAAAGCTGCTATGGACGGGAGCTTGCGGGGGAGGTTCGCAGATTTGTCCAAACCAAATCCTGTCTATGCGACCAGCGTAATCGAAACGGAGGTCATTTTCTTGTAGAGCGAATACTTGCTGCATGCGCAGAGCACGCACGAAAGCCGTTACATTGTTATATTCCGGGAGCAATATTGTGCGCAAGAGTTCGGGAAGGACGGTGCGTCTGACGACTTTGGAGACGCGGCATAGTGAGAGGGCGGATGCATATGGATTCTTTGGTACATCGTCGCCAGTTTTGACGAAGGTAGGTCTCGCGGCGTGTGCAAAGATGAGAAGAACGAGCTCCGTCGAAAGATTCCCAAATGGAAATGGGGAAGTGGCTTGCATGATGGGAAAGAAGGGTGTGAAGCTGGTTAGATGATGTATAAATTTATGTTGGGACGCACCTTATATACCAAGATGATCCATATGTGGATTGTGGTCCGGGATAAAAAGGGCGTTGAACGCCAAGGTCCAGTCACTGCGGCGCACATTGTCCACAACGGAGATATGCCAGCGCATCTGAGAAATCCAGTCTACGTAAATTTATTGTTCCATTCGGGTGCTCAAGTGCAGTGCGCTGTGGCTCCGTGGAATTCACTTACTTATCAGCGCCCACGAGGAAATTCTGTTCAACTTGAATAGGGTGCAGGCTGTCCTTGATACAAAGTCACTGGCTGAAATAGGAAGAGCCTGGTACAATCTTCCGTAATCATTAGACTTCGTCAGACTTCGTTCACGACCTAATGAAGCCTTCCCTTTGTACGTACTACGTACTCCCACTCGCCAGCGAAAGCGTTTCACAAACCTTCTGAAACACATGGACCTAAATGTTACACAGCAGTACCTCATGCACATGTCCTTCAGCGTGGCCTTGAAACCCGGTTGGAGGTGATGCATATGATGTTACGTTGGCTTTGGCGTGTCGGAGGTCTAGATATTTGTCTTCTCAGCAGATTTTTCAGAAGGGTCTTGGCTGTGTGGCGTAGTTCTTGACAAGGCTTCCATTCTTACTGCTTTGTTACAGCATCCTAGTCTTAATCCATCAGCTCATGAGGAGGCTACTAGCGAACTTGAGATGAGATAGGTTTCTCTGTGACTCGTTGATTGAGCGTGAAGGTAGGCTAAAAGCTCATGGAACAAACGCTTAAATTGACTACTTGGTAATACTGACTCGGAGTATTCAAGTTAGTGCTCTTGAGAATTGCTCTCAGCTCAGACTCGTGTCAGTGTCACTTAGTCTTCGACGCACCACCAAATACCTTGAGCGAGCTAAGCGCTTACTATGCATAGTAGCTCTGCGATGAGCGCTCGGCGCTGGCCGTACGCCATGCGGCCACAGCACGCACAGCAAGTACATACTGGAATCAATTCGAGCATCCATCCGAGCATCCTTCGGATTTGTACTCATTCCACAGTTGCTTCACAGCCTGGTCTTTGCTCAGATCGTTACCGTCAGACAAACTAACGACGCCAATTGTTTCACGACTTATCGATTATCCTTCCCCTCTTCCCTCAAAGTTTCAAGTTGCAGCTTAGGCTTTTTCGATCAACGTTTTCGTGCGTCTTCCCTCGAGATAACCAATATGATGTCTAACATAATCACACTGTTGATTCTTGAACACCAGTGCTGGTGTTTCTATTCCAAAACTCACGGCCGCCCCATCAGTCGTGTCTTATCATCAACCTTTCATGATGAGTTACCACGACCAATGTCAATATTCCATTTCTCAGTGTATCTTTCACATTCTAACCTCATTAACAGTCCGTGGGGATCTTCGATCAATCGAAGGAACCTGGGAGAAGCTTTCCCAGGTTGCTGTCAAGGGCGCTGAATACGACTCCCGTGAACGTCAACCCCATCCAAAATGTCTGAAAGGAACCCGGGTGGACCTCCTCGACTTCATCTATGGGTTATTAGACAAGAAAGAGAAAAATCGTATCATCTGGCTGCACGGCACGGCAGGCGTCGGAAAGTCTGCTGTTGCGTTCACTGTAGCTGAAAAGATGAAAGCTCTGAAAATGACAAAGGAGACGAAAGTAGAAAAACGACTCGGGGGGACATTCTTTTTCTCGCGCAAGCACACGAAACGCCGCACTACTGGATATTTCTTTGCGACGCTTGCCTACCAGCTTGCTACCAACTTTCCCAGCATCCGGGGGGACGTGAACAAAGCTATCATTGAGAATCCCGCCCTTCTAGATCCTGACAAGTCTCTCCGGGATCAGATGGAGTCGTTGTTTCTCCGACCTCTCCGGAAGCTTTTTCTCAGACTTCGCGAATGTCCGCCTTTGGTGTTTGTTATCGATGCCCTTGACGAATGCACATCCGAATCACTCGAATCTGAATCACTCGATGAACCCACCTCCGAAAGCGAGCTCGCCGATCTTATCTTCATGCTTGGCGAAGCTCTTTGTGAACCTGATCTCCCCATCGTCCATATTTTGCTCACAAGTCGCTCGGAAGAGCATATCCGCAAAGCTATGCAGACTGAAGAGATGAAACCGCTGGTATGCGAGATACCAGTGAAGACTTCTGGAAAGGGCGTTGCTGCCACCATCTCATTAGACGGCGCAGATGTTGACAATGACATATACGTTTTCTTGCAGTACTCGTTCAGAGAGCTGGAGAGTCGCCATCCAGATTTCCCACAACCATCGGGCGATCAACTTGCACGGCTAGCGAGCCGAGCGGGGAGACGTTTCATTGTTGCATCTACGATGATGAAGTTCATTGACGATCGAAATCATGATCCCCGTGATCAACTTCAACTCATGCTCGAGCTAACAAGCGAGATGCTACCAGGGACGGAAGTGTACAAGCTCTACGACCGCATCCTCTCCACGTGTGCCGACCCGACGCTAGCATATCTGCACTTATCCGTCATTGCTGCCCTCGCAGACCCACTTCCGATGTCGCAGATCTCAAAACTTCTCGGCCCTGGCCAGGGCAGGGACGTCGAGACAGTACTTACGCAGCTACGATCTATCATAGATGTTCCCACCGACAGCAGTTTGCCTGTGAATATCTATCATTCGTCCGTTCGTGACTATGTCTCCCATCGCTCAAACTGCAGCCTCCGTCAAGTTCAATACACGCCATCACCGCACTCCCTACTCGCAATTTCCTCTTTCCGCTTGATGATGCGAGACCTTCCAGATCGCACGGCCCTCCTAGATGCACTTTCAGAATTGAAGAAGCACAGTCAAGCCACGCAACCCCAGGACCCCCAGAACTTGAAAAACTCATTATCCTCCATCGTCCAACCACCAGAGTCAATGCAAGTTCTTATAGGTCTGCTATGGCTTCGTGGACATCGTGGCTCAGAGCTGCAATTCTGGCTAGAGACTCTGGATGGGCATGCCTGGCTGCAGACTCAGGAAGGGAAAGACTGGATGCTGACCGACGGTGGGAGACACTGGTTATCAACCCAGGGGGGAAAGGATTGGTTGCAGACCCCAGGCGGACTAGATTGGCTACAGACCCCAGCCATGAAAGTCTGGCTGCGGACCCAGGGCGGGTCGAATTGGCTACAAACTCAGTCTGGAATAGACTGGCTGCAGACCCAGTACGGACTAGACTGGCTGCAGACCCCAGATGTGGAAGACTGGGTGGAGACTCAAGGTGGACGAAAGTGGCTGCAGACGCCGGGTGTGTGGGAGTGGCTGCTGACTGAGCGCGGACAGATTTGGCTGAAGACACCGGGCGTACGAGACTGGCTGGAGACACCGGGCGGGAAAGATTGGCTGGAGACTGGTAAAGATTGGCTGGAGACCTCGAGCGTACAAGATTGGCTGAAGACCTCGGGTGGACAAGATTGGCTACAGACCACGGCCGGGCGAAACTGGCTGCAAGCCAGGGACCATACAGACTGGTTGCAGACTGCGGGCGGGAATGACTGGCTGAAGACCCCAGGTGGGAACGACTGGCTGCAAACTGCAGATGCGAAAGCTTGGATGAATACCCCGGCTGGGCAATTTTGGATCCAAACCGTTCATGGACGGGAGTGGCTGACGACCCGGGGCGGCTGGGAATGGCTGCAGACCCCGGATGGCGGAGTATGGTCTCAGGCCAGGCGAGCCGCCTGGAATAGACGATACAGAGGGCTCGATGTGATGAGTTTGAGGCGATCTCCGCCGAGCCTTAAGAAATTCGTATACAACCAGTCAAACAACAACTCGGACGATGAAGAGGAGTATTTAAACCTGGACGAGCTAGCCTGGCTGCAAACGGGAGATGGGAAAGAGTGGCTGCAGACGCCAGACAGAAACAACTGGCTGAAGACTATAGTTGGGAAAGAGTGGCTGCAGACCCAGGACGGGCGAGAGTTGTTGCAGACTGCGGGTGGGAGAAACTGGCTACAGACCCTGGGTGGGCGTGCCTGGGTGACGTCTGTGGATGGGCGCGCCTGGCTGCAGACTCCGAGCGGACGAGAATGGCTGCATACCTCAGGTGGCTATGCCTGGATACGGTCATCGGGTGGTCAAGGCTGGCTGCAAACTCCAGGCGTGCAAGAGTGGCTGCAGACCCCGAGCGGTCGAGAGTGGTTTCAGACCCTGCCCGAGTCGTTTACCCAGCCCTCATTGCTATTTTCTGTATCGTATGCACTGATCACCCAGCTATCCTCACAACCATCCCAAAACAAGGGAGATCAGCTGCAAAGCCCGGACGACGGGGCTTGGTTGAAGGTCCCAGGTAGCCTACATTGGCTACAAACTCTTAACGGACGAAAGTGGATGCAGTACCGTGGAGGGTGGGACTGGCTGCCAACCCGAAATGGGAGAAATTGGCTGAAGGACACAGGCGGTCAAGACTGGCTGCAGACCTCGGGCGGGCGAGATTGGCTGCAGACTCAGGGTGGTCAAGACTGGCTGCAAAAGGATGGTCGAGGCTGGTTGCAGACTCAGGGTGGCCAAGACTGGTTGCAAACACCACATGGTCAAACATGGCGTTTGACGACTATCTGGGTGACCATCGAAGAATTTTCGAGCACATTAGAAGCAGTCAGGGAGTACATAACCGCCCCGGAACTGCATTTGCAGCCAGCTTTTCAAGCAATCCAGCAGTTCAAGTCCCTGCCCGATTTCTTGATGTTCCCGGCATTCCTGGCGTTAAGGCATCAAGATCATTCCACCTCCACATTACTGCAAAGTTGCCCACCAGTTATAGAGATCATTCATGCTATGAAAGCTTTTTCAACTTTCGCATACGAAGCACGCGCACGCAGTCGAACAGCTTCAGAAGCCCTCAACTATGCATGTCAACACTGGGCTATCCATCTCTCGCGAGCTCCAAATCCGTGGGACGAGAGGCTCGCCTATCTGTTCAAGTCTTTCTGGAACCATTATCTCCTCTCCTGGCTCGAAAAACAGTGGAGTTTGAAAGATTTGCAGTCTTGTCTCACTATTTTATCCGAAGGCCAGAAACTTGCGATGGTAGGTAGTTTCCAACGTTTCCTAGACTTACAACAGCAAAGTCTGACCTGCGCATATAGGAACATCTTCTCCAGGCTCCAGTATCATCTCAGTCACGAGTCTGAAGGTGACAATCTCAAGATGCGACATGCCACAGTCTTGCCGCTGTACACATATTCATATTTCACGTTGCTCAAGTATCTATAGCATGCTGTACAAAATTGTAATATTTATAGTACCATAGACAGAGTGATATGAACGAAGGATACGAACGTTACACAGGCAGACGTTTGACTGGTCACTGGTCACAAATATCGTCGCGAAAGAGATAACGAAGTCCGACCCCAGAACAGATGCAACCATGCAAGGAAAATACCGCAGAGGCCCCACTGGGCTCTGCAATGAGGCAAGTGCAATAACCTAGCTGAAATGCACAACGCATGTCGATGCGAGATCCTTCGGAACTACAATCGGAAAAGCTCGTCGTCCTGAGATGCGATCACAAAAGATTAACATCCGCGAAATCACGCGCGTGAACTGTCAGTAATAATATGACATAGATGGTGCATTAAGATGTTTTCATACTCGTTCCCCATCAAGCGACGATCCCCCTGCTAAATATAAATCTAGTCAATAAATTATCATCCTGAGAGGCAGAATTGCCTACACAGAACCAACGGCATGGAACAACCAGCTCCAGCAATCAAAACCCGGATATTGCATGAATGAAAATGGGATGATGACTGACTCGGAGATCTGAGACGAAGACTGTTGTGGAAAACCTGACAGACCACAGCAGAAAATGGCACAGGTCCGCACTGGCAGAACAAGGAACGAGAACTTGTGCCCAACACTAACTTGAACTTGAATGTGCCAAGATGCACATGGATGACGTATTCACCACACCTTCATAAACCACGAGAAGTAGGATTGGTCGGAGACGTTGAATCCGAACAGATAGAACCATGAGCACAGGGCTAGCCTTTTACTAGTAGCGGGTCGTGACGAAGAAATCAAGTGTTGCGCACTGATAGTCATTGCTAGGATGAATATTACTGGAATCCATTTAATTTGTCGATTCGCAGGGGTACTGTCATCTCGGATAATTGTATCGAGTAGGTTTCAAGTAGGTTACTGGAAGTTGGAACAACGGTTTTACTTGGCTGACTACGCTAGCCAAGCTTCTAATTATGTAATTGGCGTTTCTGAGAGTATGAGTCGACGGTCCCGGAAATGTGACATAGGCGTATGAGTCAAGTTATCGATGCGCAGTGCATACCTCTCGGCGTATCCGATGATATTCTAGGTTGAAAGAAATTCTCAGCTTCGAATTCACGGACGCTTCACGACACGTACTAGGATCAGGTAACGTTCCAAGACTTGGCACGCGACCCACGCACGAATCCAACGTCCAGTTCAATACATAGAATAATGCTACAGGTATAGTGTATGATCCACAAATGCACAGTACGGACAGCAATGCTAATGACCATGCGAATATAAAGTGTAAGTATGTATGTAATAGCACCACCCTCTCTCACGCGCTCGCAGCAATGACAGGCGGAAGCTCCATCGCCCTGCCCTGCCCTTGTGGACTCGGCTTCTTCTTGCTTCCTCCCGCCATACCTAAGGTCCCTCCACTCCCTGCTGCATTGCTCCCTCCACTCGACCCATTAGTGCCACCATTGCCAGCTCCAGTTCCGCCAACATCTTTGCCCTCCGGGCCAAGCCCATTGAATGCACGCATCGGTTCCACTGGAACGGCATCCGACATACCAGGCCCTGACATTGGTCCTGGCTCCTTCGCTTTGTTCTTCTTCTTGACAGCCCCTGCAGCAGCGCCTGTCTTGAGTACCTGACCCAAGGGTCCAAGCTTTGCCTGTGCAGGTGCGGGTGCATCGTCTGGGATCGTGATGATGCGTGCGAAATCGCCTGACGAATTTGGTACATAAGGTAATGGTAGAACGCCAGGGTGAGGAAGGAAACCAAATTGAGGGCCCGGTGGGAGATAAGGAAGACCTTGGAGGGTGCCAGGAGGTGCGAGTGATGCAAGCCGCACTTGAAAGTAGTGACGCAATAACCCAATCTGGTCGCCCACATTCTTGCTCGTGATAGGAAGTAAGGGAGGTGGTGGTGGATATGGCGGTGGTGGTTCTTTGGGTTTTGCTCTGAGAGTGGAATAAAATCAGGCAACAAATCGGGAGACTGAATAGACAAGACGTACTCGATAGCGGCCCCTGCTGCTCCCCGTGATTTCCCTTTGAGTAGCTTCTTTGGGATAGTGAGACTCGATAATCCCAATTCGGCAGCAATGCCAAGCTCCCGTAATCCGAGAAAGTCATCACCAAGTGAGTCCGAAAACCCACCCATGACAAAGGCACTTTCGTCCTCTTCGTCGTCTTCACCAGCAAACAGCGCATCGTCATCGAGAACTTCTACTTGCGTCTGTGCATGTGGTAAGTACTGGGAATTTAGCCAAGAGTAAGGGGAAAGATCGACTAACAGCTTCGCGGTATGCTCCAACAAGCTTTTTCTCGAGGTCAACAAGGCGTGAACCGTGCCGGACGACATCGTCCTTGATGTACCGCTCGAGATCTTGGATTCTTGTGACTCCACTCTCGAAGAGTGTATGCAGGATGATTTCCTATCATACGCTACTAGTGAGTTCCAGGTTAACGACGAAAGGGACAAGGTGAGAGGTACCTCTGGCGTCATGCTCTTCGCATACTTGTCGCACATAAATCGTAGCGTTCGACCGACGTTAAGAAAATACTCGGACGTTACCCCTACCAACACATCCAGTGCAGCACCTGATGTCCCTGGACACGAAGTAAAAGTAAGTACGCCAGTCTCTAGCCGCCTATCACACCAAACAAGATGATGACGAGCAAAGGAGAATATGGAACACACCTTGGAATCCTTCATGCTCCAACACCTTCCGATTCATCCATTTTAGACATTCGTCAGCGTTCTTCTCACCAACTTCTAGTTCAACTGGTCCCTTCACTTGTCTAAGACCAGCATATCTCGATCGCCAAGGCCGCTCATCTATAACCTCGTCAACCATGCCTTCTTCCCCTATATCTGGCGGCTCATCCCCCATGCCACCTTCTTCTGCGTTAAGGTTGAGCGCGGCAAACTTTGCATGCGTACGTCGGACCCGTTTGAGAGTTTTAATGTTCGTGTTCATAATACTGAGGAGGGTGTTGGGCGCGGGAGTATCTCTGTCCTTGTACTTTGCTATAGATTGGGGGCGGAGTTTCCGTCGCTTGCGGGGCCTTGTAAATTGTGATGAGGACGCTGTGGGCTGGGATTGCGGATAGAGGGTCAATGCAGCGAAAGGCTGGGGAAGGGCTGGAAGTCCATTGGCGAGAAATGAGTCAGATTGAACAGAGGACCACCATGTCGAGCTCGGGTCGTTTGCCGTGGGAAGAGGCGCAAAGGGAGCAGGGATGAGACGTACGCGTTTACGAGGATGATAAGATGAGCCGTTTCTGCATCGAATAAACGAAGAGGTACCGCAGTCAGTATTTGCCGATCAATGCACGGAGGATGTATGGGTAAAGGAACAAAATGGTGAGGCTCACAGCTTGCGTTTCTCCCCCAAGTCGTTATCTATTGACATTAATGCTTCGTCTACTTCGCTGTCATAATCGTTTGTAGAAGCAGATGAACTGTACCCATTGGGGATGCTTGATGGACCAGCTTCTGACTCAAGTGCACGGAACGCAGCCATACCGTGCGGCGTACGTTCAAGCGCAGGGGAATCGGCAAAGGGGAGATCCATACGTTGCTTTGAAGATTGTGGTACTGTCAATGACGGAGATCGTCTGTGTGTGTATGCCGTGCCGTTAATCTTGGGCCGTGCCGTTGCGTTAGGTCTCATGGCGACGGGAGAAGCGGAATTTGGAGGCTGGGATAGAGCAGCAGGTAGGGGAGGGTCGATTCGTTCTTTGCGGTCAGTGATATTCTTCAGTAGTCTATCGGCTTTCTTCTTGAGGCGCATTGCGCACTGACGGAGGGGGTGGTCCTGCGCGGCACAGTGGGCCTCACCACGCGTTTTCACGACGGTGATACATACCTCAGTCGCATTGTAGGTGAAACAGTTTGACCATATCAGATCTAGATCATCTGCAAACTCGCGCTTGGACTTGTACTGCTTTGATTTGACCTTCTTGAGCATGGTTTGAAGGTCCATGGGGTTTACGATCACTGGATGGTATGAGACGAGGTATGGTGAGACGGGATATATGGACGCACCATCGTAGTAGTCGGGAACGTCAGATTTTGCGACTGGCTTAAGGAATGCCTCCGCGTCATGATTATCCTGTGTATGATGTCAGCGGGGTAAGATAGCGTCGATCCGCCTACACACACACCATAGTCACTGTACGCAGATCATGAAGCAGTCCCTCGAGGGAATCATAGAATGGTTCGGATACCTTGGCATCGAAGCTTTGACGCTAGAGCGATTTAATGCATTATTTCTGCTTTAAGCACAGCACGGAACAACAAGACTCACGCGTGCGTCCTTGACAGCACTCAGAAGTAGCCTAAGGTCAGACGAGGGCTTGACCTGGCTCTCGGTGAGTGTCCTGAGGAGATTCTGCATACTGTTAGTTGTATGTGTGCGGATGGCTTGACGTAGCTTACATTCATCCTCTGGTCGCGCCGGCTGGCGTTAACGGCGCAACGGACTCAGCGGGACAACTGCCTTGTTCAGTCGGAGTTTGAATGCGTATGGAAGTCTCCGACCCAAACAATATCTTATGCTAATGGTGGGTTCAGCCTATGGTGGTTGGCTAACTTTTGAATCGATCAAGTAGTGTCTTGGCCAGGCAGCAAGGTATGTATAGTATAATTATTGTGGACTGTGGACCGTGGTAAGTTTTTGTATTACTAATTTTTGTGCTGTGAGCACAATGATCAACTTGCACTTCCAGCGTATTTTTTAGCTTTTAGAATATGCGATCTCCATGTAGATACTACCAATGACCGAGCTAAGAAAAAACTAAACATATGTGTTTCCCTAGTACTTGCTCGCAGAAAACAAACAACAGATAAGGAACGACCTTGGTCCGAAAAATAACAAAAGTCTTGATCAGGCCAAACGTACAGAAAGTAAGACAACCGATTGCGAGAGAACCATCATAGGAACAATGCGAATGTGGTACAAACCATACTAAGAAAGCAAGACAATATTTGATCGGCGTGGTGATCAACGGAAATGTTCGATATCCTCAATCGCAAGTGAATGTCCGGACTTCTTTGTTTGTGAACCTGCAGCAATATGGATATCGGCATGAACTCCATTATCATAGGCTGTGTTTGATGAGGGAAGATACGATAGAATAAGGTAAACATTAATAACAAGACACGAGACAACATGAGATAGCAACCAGTATAGGCCTATACAAAGGCGTGCAATCGCGAAGTAGGTGTGTCACATCATCAGGACCAACTTGAGGTTCCATGTCTTGTTGTTTGCGACGCCTAGGAATGAGACTCAGAACGTGTTGATACTGAATTAGAGAGAAAGTTTCACCGTAATCAGGCATCTACAGGTGCAGCGGATAGGAATGTGCTTCGAAACAAACTTTAGAGAGGTCAGGATAGAATAAGAAGATGAAGGATTCACATCACGATAGTGTTTGGGAGCATCATCCCGTCCTACGCGCTCCAACGAGGGACAACGAAACAGAATGAAAACGCACTAGAAAGTTCTTATACACGATGCTTGAGGATGGACTTCCCCATGCTATATGATGGGACACTCGGCACGAGAAGTCTGTCGCGAGCTAGTAGGACGTCTGAGGTAGCCACCATACGTGAAACCTGCCTGAGGCGTCAGCCGTTAAACAGAGAACCGAGGTACTTAGGCATACTCTTGATCATCAGACGGGAGATACCAGACAGGCTGATTGTCAGGTAGACCACGAACGTTTTTGATACCAGAGCATGCAATGCCAACAAGATAGAACAAGAACATGCGTACAATTAACTATATCGTGATGTGACATTACAGTTGATCCCGCCACTGTCATGTAAAGTACAAACATCTTACCTTCCTCAGCTAAGCGTATTTCCTCTTGACGTGCCTAGCAGTTGAGATCATGCTGAATGAGCGCCATGGCTTTCGCAGAGCGAGGTGTAAAGAACACTTGAAGGGTTTGGGGTGGCTGCGAGTGTGCCTATCCAGATTGGCGCCGAACATGATAAGATATGCAACATACCTGATTGTGCCTGATAATGGATCAACCTCAGGTGTGATCTCGTTGATACCGTTTTCGACGACTTGGAGATATCGAACACGGCCAGCGAGATCGCAGTGGACGTACGGACAGAAGCTTCAGCAAGGTGGAGACATGTATAAGAAATGCAAGCAACATCAGAATATAGGTCGGTTTATCGGCGCTTCTGTGTGTTGTGCAAACCAGGAAAGATAATGGGGAGCAGAGAGTTAGCATGGCACCAAAAAAACTCCACACCTACGTCCCTCAGAGCTGAAGCAAATTATGCGAGGCTGTCTCAGGCTCCTGGCGAAAATGCGTTCAGGGTCGAATTACGAAAAGTGAGCATATCTCTGCGAGTTATTGAGCGTGGAATTGGCTGGCATTATATTCTGTTAGAACATCGAATGTGGAAAGGGCGGTACCAACCAAACGTTAGGTATTATCAAAGAATGTAGATACCCATCATCGGTATCGTGCACGATGGGGGAAACATGTTAAGATATATACCATTCGGCAACTAAAGAATCCGTTAAATGAGATACACGGACTGGTAGGGATAACAGCGTGCTATTATGGGATTCGCTGGCAAGCGCACCTCAGCATATGGGAGAAGAGCCTCGGTCTGTGGAGGGAAGACGATCAGGGCCATTTATCCAGCATGTCCATCGCAGTCTTAACAGAGTTCAGGACGATGATGTGCCGACCCAAACCCTTAATATGCGAGATGTCACCAGCAGAGAAGACATTATGATGCATGATGTTGGCGAAATGGGAGGTACTCACCATGCTTCTTGCCCCAGTTCTTCTGTCCGAACACCCGCATTAGCACTGAGAATATATACTCCGATACAGGTAAGGCAAAGGTCAAGCCAAGTGACGTTGATGAGTGTCAACATGTTATACTAGCAGAGGACCAGAGTGAGATTGTGTAGTCCTATCAATTGGCTGGCCATGTGATAATACACCCAAACTTTGCGTAGGCTTCGTTATTGTCTGTAATCAAATATATCATCGACCCCCGAGTAAGCGGAAGCCTGCAGGTGTTTAGATCAACTAATCAAAAACTTGAAAGAGTATCACCGGCCACTGCGTCTGAATTTTCCATTTCACCCATTACCGGCCGGTAGCGAATTGGTGACAGGTAGGAGTTGGGTAGGAGTACTGTGATTTCATCCATGTCATAGTTGGCATCGGGTCACTCTGCAACAAGCCCGAAATGAAAACTTTCCCAACTAGAGTGAATGAAGATTGGCGTGTTATTCCTAGTTAGTTACAGGGGAATAATAGGATTGTACGGAGAACAAGGAGTTGATATAGCTGCTTGAGGGTCTGAATGAGACGAATCAGGTCTGGTAAGTTATGCCTCTCCCTCATGCTTCACGCTGTGTGAGTGGGTGTTATTGCGAGGATAGATATATTCACATCAATAGAAATACAGCTAAATTCAAATAAATTATTGCTCACCAATAGTAACTCGCTCTCTGCAGGGTAGAAAATCCTTGCTATATCTTGGCAAGCGCCTTTCTGACAAACTCCTCAGTGCGGGCGATGTGCTTTGCCAGCTCACCTTATATATGGAGTGAGGCCCAAGGTGATTTCTAGGAATAGGTTTCTTCATCTGGATGGGAATGATAAAGTGGGGAGGCAGTTGTAAGCTAATGATGCGGCCGCATATATTTGAAATACCAAACATTTTCAAATTTCGTTCTTGATGAAGAGCTTGACTAAAATATTGTGAGGACGGACTCGGAATGATGTCGAGGGGGGCGTTGTTGATGCTTGTTTATGCGACGACGAAAGCTTTCCTGGACATTCTTTATACAATTCTTCAACTGACGAAATTGCTAATATACTCTCATCCGACGTTACGCTCCGCCGCGTGCTAGACTGCTTTGTTGTGCAGCGGTTTTGGGACATCCCTTGTGGTCTTTTTCATCTATATTGAGAAGGATCAATAGAGATGTCTGCAAACCCAAGGCTACATCAGCAATGATCCGAAAGGCTGGAGATGATCTCCAACTACAACTGATTTACAGGCAAACAGGTGACGGATTTGGACATGTGGAGTGGACAGGTATGTTTCAAAGGACAAAAGTGTAAGTCACAATACAAAATGTACATTCACTACATAATGCTAATGCTACAACTAGTTGCTATTAAACCCCGGTAACGAGCATTGTCGAACTCTTTGGTTCAATTGACGCCTTGCAGTCATGTTACTCCAAGTGAGCAAGTCATCTCTTTGCGCCAGTATCATCCTGACCATGATGACCATCACCTGTTGCCTTTTTAGTAGGTGCCACCTACATCACATCACAATGACAATAAGCATCACATCACGACAATACTATAGCATCCCTAACACTCACCACAATCAACCGCGCCTCCCTTGGCACCGCCACCCTCCTCGCTCTCCGTATCTCAAACTCAGGTTTTGTCCTATCGAGTTGCGCGTACGACGGCCGACGGCCGTTCCGGAGCTCGTACGTTGATTGTGCGTGGTGTATCTACGAATATCATGTCAACACAACGATCATACAATAAAAAGCGTGCTCAGACCTGTTGAGTCATATCTTTCAATGCTAAGTTCTAACGCGTAGCTCTCGGCTGGAAGACACGTTTTTTGTTTAGACCCAAGAATTAAATACATCGCGAGCTGTGGGTGAACTTCATAGCACGAAAATAATTGTTTAAGCAAACGAACAAAAACTTGAGTGGCATAGTGAGTGGCGTCTGCTTTGCTTAAATACCTCTTTCCTGAACATGAGAAGGTCATCACTCGCTCTCCTCACTCACGTTCTAAAATCTTAGCTTGCATCAGATATTTCCAGGACTATATCCTCTTACCGTATAAACGTATAAACGGGTCACACACGTTACAACCACATGGACGCACAACGTTTCGACCCCCTGCGGCGTACAAACATGGTCAGTATTTCTTTTGGTTTCATCACCCTGCGTTTCCTAACATTATTCCTTGTTATTCTCCAGAGACTTGCCTCGCTTTTCAAAACCCGCACTTCAGATTCGACGCCGATGAGGCAGGGCCCTTGCGTCAAGAGCGAGAAAACGAGCGCGAGTGATGTACGGCCGGACCACGAGATTGTAATCGATCCTGTTGAGGGAAAAGATTCTGATTTGAAGGGGTCGTGCCCACCCTCTAAGGACACATGCACTACACGCGTCACTACGCCTGTCGATATACATGACTCTGTCGACAAGGTTGCCACACATACCATCACCCGCTCTGAGCCCAATCCCCGTGGTGGCGCTCCTATAGTATCTGTCACAGAGATAGTGTACAGACGCCCTCCGTCTCACACAGACACCTCCTCTCCCTCTCAATCTTCGTCATCTGTGTCACCGCAATCCATCCCTCCTCCAGGCTTCAATGACTCCGCCGAGACGGTTGCCACAGGCACCATCATCCAGTCTGATCCCAATCCCCGTGGTGGCGCTCCTATAGTATCTCGCGCACAGATGATGTCCAGAGGAGTGTGGTCGCACTCTCCGTGTCGCACACAGATGGTGTTCACAGGGGTGGTGTCGCGCTCACTTCCCACAAATGCCTCCTCTCCCTCTCAATCCCCTTCGCCATCTGCATCATCGCGATCCACCCCTCCTCTAACCAATGAGTCCGTTGATGTGCTTACCACGCGTACCGTCACTTGCCCTGATCCCAGTGGTGGCGCTCCTACAGTATCTCGCGAACAGATGGTGTTCAGAGGGGTATTGTCGCGCTCTCCGTCTTGCTCACAGATGGTGTTCACAGGGACGGTGTCGTGCCCTCCGGCTCGCACGAACACCTCATCTCCGGCTCGCACGAACACCCCCTCTCCCTCTCAATCTTCTTCGCCATCTGCATCATCGCAATCCACCCCTCCTCCGGGCTTCATAAGGCGGGTGTTCCGAGCGCTCGACCGTTTCAATACATCCTCAGCTTCTGGTAGCGACGCGGATGACCTGAAAGTGCACAAGAGGAAGAGGCACGTGTTGCTGGCGATTGTTAAGGAGAGAAGGGGGAAACACAAAGATGATCGGGTGTTCAAGGATATCGCGGGGAATGACTTTCCTGCTGCTGGTGTGAGGGACAGCACTTGAGTTTGGGTCCTTGCATGGCGTGGGTTAGATCCTTGGGAATAGTTTTTGCTGCATCGCTGGACGCTCTATTGTATATATTCTGTATTACGCTCATTATTCACTATATCTGCCAGAGAACTGTTCCTATACTTTATTTTATATTGCTACTCATCTCGGACCTACTTGTTCACTATGCAAGTGAGTGTTTACTGGCAGGAGGGAGTTACAACTGCAAAGATCGGTTTCCTGCCCAGTTTTAAGTAGGCAATATAACATGAGGCTGAATTTCCGATGTTCGAAAAAGGCATACACAATTATGAGATTTCTAGAGCCCTGAAGGCCTGATGTCTATCATGCTGTGCACACTGCAGGTCGGCAGAGGATGATGCGAGGGCTCACTGGCAGTCCAACAGGCTGTTATCCACAAGGTCGAGCGTGACTTAGATATAAATGCTATACAATGGCGAAGACTACACGTGCATTGGGAAGGTAAGTCCGCGCTGGACCGTCAATTTCACCGTGATCAGCTCTAGTAGACTTCGTGTTGCTGGCAAGACAAGGAATAGCTGCGGAGCAAGTACTATCGTCATAAAATTTTCAACTATGTCCAAATTATGTACCGTAATACAACCCATCGTGTAGTAGTCTGTTCTGACACCCATGCCCGATGCCAGTGAGGCCTCAGAAATATATCAATCTGCCATCAAGAAACAACCATGGCAGAAATCGAACATATGGAGTATACTTCGCTCTAGTCTCGATAAAGCGCTCTGTTTCCTCTGGTGTACAAGGCTCCTGTAGCATGGAAGCAGGGAACGTGAACAACTTCACCCATATACCTGAATCCTTGGGCGCACATTGAGCGACCGGCCGGGGTTCGGTGTGCGGAAGAATTTTGATGTGCGGAAATGCCAACGAGAATGTTTGCAGTCCTTTGAAAAGAACACGCGCGAAGCACAAAGGCTGCCAGTAGGATACAGAATCTTCAAATTCAAATTCGCTAACACAGTTGCACTGGAAGGGCAGGCATTCTTGGAAGGATGTGGAAAAGAGTAGGGTAAGGTGTTGGATGGAAGCGAGGAAAGCATATCCATGGACAGACCCCACGAAGGGCCACCATGTATGAGAGAATATACCCAATAGCGTCAAACTTCCCGTGCTCCAAGGAAGCAATGAATTTTTGTGGTCGACATTTAAGTCGACATCGGAGTTGCACGCATGTTTGAGGCATTTTGAGAGAAGATTTAGATTATTAAAGTGGATTGCGAGGGAGGATGCACCGAGAATGACTGGAGCGAGCAAACTGATATCGAGCTCGCATTCAAGCTCGGGCATAGGAACGGGAAAGTAGGGAATAGGTGGGCTTTGCAAAGGCCCCCGAAAGTCTCCGATTGAGATCATGTGCACGCAAGATGCATAATCAAAAGCTAGATCATGTTGTCGATCGATGTATTTTTTCTGCATACGCAGAGCCCATATGAAAGCAAGTAGTTGGCGAGCTGTTGACAATAACACTGTATGAAGAAGTTCAGGCAGCACAGCGCGCCTGACAATTTTGGAGACCTGGCATAATGAAAGGGCAGATGAGTATGGATCTCGGGTGAAAGGCGCATGTTGAGCAAAAGGTGGTTGTGCCGCAAGCTTGAAGATGATGAGGGCGAGCTCAGTCGGAAGGCCGTTAAATCCAAATGATATGGGAGTAGGAGGTTCCATGACCGAGCGAGAGACGAACCTGGTTTGGATACTTGTCTCCTGAATTCCGCAGCGCTGGAGGTGATTGGATGAGATGGAGCGCAGGTTCAAACTCCGCTAGGTCGAGTTGATTATGTAATTTTACCTGAATTGATTGTGCCTTGTGTTCGGGCTTTGACTACAAGCCTTGGGGGTTGTTGGATGCTCGCAGTGGACCCTGTGAAGAGATGAATGTCGAGCGGGAGACGTGTGAACGCTAAGACAAAAGGTAAATCTCAGTCTCTCGTAGAAGAACTCATATTAACGGTGTATGTACCTAAGACAAAAGGTAACTAGAAGACGTTAGAACATTGTAATAGCCGGGTGCGGAGATCTACTCACATCTCAGTCTCTCGTAGAAGAACTGAGATGTTCATACGCTACAAAGGCTTCTTTTAAAGGTGAGTAGCTTGGATACATGAATATTGAAGAAAAGATTGAACATATATTGTAGGACATGAGCCGATGTCACTCGTCGCTCGTCTACGTCCAAAATGGCATGCGCTCGTACCTCTCACTCTCCCTGCGTCACTATCTCGGATCTTTCGGTGTTCGACAAGTCGGATCTCTCAGTGCTCGACACTCCCCCTCGAGCGGATGCCAGGTTCATTTGCGCCCATAGTTTCTGAATATGAGGTTGCACTAGGGCCTTCGTAAACGCATCTGCTAGGTTGTCCTCCGAGGGACAATACATGAGGTTGAACGTGCCACGTCTGACGTGCGCACGAATGAAGTGATATCAAAGATCTATGTGCTTGGTCCTAGACTGGAATTTGTTGTTAGATGTGAGGGCTATTGCAGCTTGATTATCGCAGTAGACAGGCGTAGGGGTTAAGGGAATGTTGTAGAGTTCGTGGATGAGGAGCTGGAGGTAAAGGATCTCGCGGACGACAGTAGTAAGTGCTATGTATTCTGCCTCAGCAGTCGACAATGCAATAAGCGATTGTTTGCGTGCGCTCCAGGCAATTGGACCTCCATTTAGTAGCACGACATACCCCGACATGGAATGACGATGGGGTTGAGACGCCCAATCGGCGTCCATGTACGCCTCCAATCCTCCCTCCGTAGTCCCAAATGTTAGCCCGAAATCGTCAGTGGCCTTCAGGTAGCGCATAACGTGCTTGCTTGCCTCCCAGTGTGCTCTTCCTGGGCTTCGCATAAACTGCGATAGTGTGGCGATGGAGAAGGCGATATCTGGCCTTGTACTTGTGGCCGCGTACATAAGAGATCCTACGGCTTGCTGGTATGGGACGTCACGCATGTCCGCATGTTCTGGTAGAGTTGATGGGGACTGGTTGATGGAGAGTTGCACGCCCGGATCCATGGGTGTCTGGGCAGGTTTCGCGTCATTTAGGTGGAACCGTTCAAGTACGGTGTGGACATAGGCTTTTTGGGACAGTGTCAAGGTGCGCGCGTCGCGATCTCGGATGACCTTCAGGCCCAGGAGCCATGCGAGCTTGCCTAGGTCAGTGATCTCGTAATGTTCGCGGAGCTGACCTTTGAAATGCTCTATGTTGTGAATGTTGCGCGACGTAACGGCCATGTCGTCCACCGACACGGTGATGACAGTGTGCTCATCGTTGGCACACCTGTAGAATACGGCTTGGTCCACTTGCGAATGGGTAAATCCTATCTTGAAGAATACTCCAGCCAGCTCTTCCGCCCACTCATATCCTGCCTGTTTCAGGCCCGGTAAACTCCTCCGCAGCTTCAAGATCTTCTCCTCATCTCCTGCCTTCAAGTATCCCGGCGGTGCTCGCATAAAGACCTCTTCTTTAAGGTCAGCGTACAAATATGCGCTCTTGATATCTACCTGATGGATTTCCCAG